TAAAATGAAGGAGGCAAGAAAGCTTTTTGGTAGGAGAGAATTGAGATGTAATAGTTTCGTTTATCCAGCTGTATAAAGCATACAACATATAACTGTTTAAAATATTTGATAATACCTTAGTGTAACAAGCCAGAAATTAAATAACACATCGAAAATATTATTAAGAACGTCAGTTAGAAAGGAAAATATACGACATCAATAGGAGACCGTTAACTGGGCGACAAAATAAAATTTTTTTATTGTTTCCTCCATTAAAATCACCATTATTTTCTATTAATTCAAGAAAAATTTAATATGTACAGTATTAAAAAAACGAATTGAACGAATTAAAAGAACGATTTTGTATTAACAAACATTTATGCACATTACATTATTTATTTATTTATTTTTAGAAGTGAGTAGGAAAGTCCAAAAGAACGATTGCTATCGATCCCCTAAAATTAACAAATATACGTAAAAAGAAAGACAACAGTTATATAAAATTAAAGATATTACACTATACGTTAAAACGAAAAAGTATAAAAGTTCTTCAAAAGAATTTCTTTTCGAAGAATCGGTTTTATTTGATGTGCATTGGTAACCCCTTCTGACCTCCAATAATTAATGCCAAATTATTTAACCTAAGCAAACAAGCCAATGACAAAAGTTGTTTTATATAAACCGAAGTATGCCATTGGCTTGATTAGTTGCTTGTCCTCTAGACCCGTCTGTAATTTAACGTGAAAATTACAATCTACGTAAACAGGAAATTTATTTTTCTATTATTATAAATTATAAATTTTATTGTGTTCGAGATAATTTGAAAATATTATATTAATAATAATTTCAAATTAATGATTGTTTACTCTTTAAAAGCTCTATTTACTCAAATCTGCAATTTAAAACACAAAAAAGGTCCTCGAAAAGTTCGAGAGGAGGAAAGATTTACGATGTTTCCGAACCTACGAATTTTTTAAGGCAAAATTTTCCAATGCAAAAGAGGTATTTTTTAATGAAAATGTCTTTTACTTCTAAATTAACTATTTACTTTTACTTTCTTTGCCGTTATGTATATATAACAATGGAAAGTGTTGGAATGGAAGACAGAAGAGGGCCATGTTTCATATCTTCAGAAGGGTCGAACATAAAGATTTTGCCCGTTATTAACATTTTAAATTTTTCATAAAACTCGTTCCTAGCCTCAAAATTAAGTTCTTTTTAATTTTATAGTAATGAAAAATATAAAGTTATTTTATAACAACACCTCATAACAGATGACGCTACATACAATTTCCTTTTCAATATATATCATACTGAATTCGACTAAACTTCAGCCAATAGAATCTGTAATTTATATTTACGTAATATATATGGCGTCCAAGAATTTATATTTAAATATGCTTAAGTTAAATTAAATAACTAAAATTTATTAATATATTATATGTTATAATATTAATATTTATTAATACTATAAAGGCAGATAATTAAAACTAAAAGTAAGGGGGCTATTAAACCCCTTTTCTCTTCCTTGTTTGACTTGCATAATTCATTTCCTTTTTTCCAGGGCTGTGGAGTCGCGTAAAAATCTAGCGACTCCGACTCCGACTTTTCCTTACCATCCGACTCCGACTCCGACTCCGTTTCATATACATAACAAGTTGGTAAGTAAAAGTCGGAGTCGGAGTCGGCGGATTTTCTGACGACTCCGACTCCGACTTTTACTTTTTTGCTTTTTTCTATTGTGAACGTCATTTATACACTGGTGTGCAAAGCTTAAGCAACAATGTTATTTTTAAGCAGACAGCCATGAAATTGTAGAAAAGGGCTTGCAGCGATCAGTACAACAAACACCCAATTCAGTAGAAATATGATTAATATTCAGGAATAAGACATGACAGGCGAGGGCACGCAGAACGCAAGCAGTCAGAGCACACAGTGCAAGACTACAATAAGGAGGTTTTGATTCCATACTGCATGCTTTCTATTCATTTTTGTGCTGGTATGCTGTCTTCGTATTTTAAGTACAAAATACTGCCTCTGTTTTCTGACTTTCATGTCTTCCGGGTGATTTTTTGCTAAGTTACGAACAAAAAAAAATTGTTGCTCATGTTTTGCACACAAGTATAAATAGCCCCTAATAATTACATTTAAAAATTATAAAATAATAATTAAAACTGCCCTTTACTCCGAAACTAAAAGTGAAGTAAAAATTCAAAAGAAAATCATCCAATCAATTGAAATATAGTATTGTGGGACGTTTGGAAAACGTACTTGTNACATACCATATCATATGCCGATAACATTGTGCTGGTAGCTCCTACGGCAGCTGCGCTCCGTAAAAAGATTTAACATATTTGTGAGTACTTAGAAAAGTTAAGAGTTACAATAAATCCAAAAAAATCATCAATAATGATATTCAGAAATGGCAGTAATATATCCAAAAAGCACATGTCTTTTTTTATCAATAAAGAAGAAGTGAAGATAGTTAAGGAAATAAAATTTTTAGGAATAACATTTACACCAAACCTTTCGTTTGAGAAACATTATAAAAATTCACTAAATAAAGCAATAATTGTAATAAATAACCTAATTGGTCTATTCTGTAAGACAAAACTAAAGAACTTGGGAACACACTTTCGACTTTTTAATTCACTTGTAATGAATTCAATGGGCTATGCGGCCCCAGTTTGGAGTATGGATAAATTTAATGATTTCGAAAAAATACAGAATATATTTATACGCAATATATTCCAGTTAGAATTTTATATCTCGGGCAGTGCCTTACGAATAGAAACAAATAGATTCAGACTAAATACTATATTAATAAAAAGATATTTAATGTTTCTACAAAAAATTATAAAGGCAGAAGACATAACAACAAAATTGCTGTTTTCACTATATCGCAAATCAAAGGAAACGGACTTAAGATGAAGTTGGATAATACAGTTATCAAAGATAGTAAATAAATATGGATTCTCTATTAAATTGTTTCTGGATCATACACACAATATGGAGCAGTACAGTAAAGAAATAATATACAGAGCTATGGAATTATTCATTGTTCAAGACATTGAAGACATACGAAAACGGGAAAATACAAGCTGGTATGCAACAATTTTAAATTACCCAGTAAATAATAACTATATATTGACAAATCTAGCCTTTAACATCAAAAAGTTTTTTATACAGATTAGGCTAAATAAACAGGGAATAATTATAAATGATAAATATATAGACTATACTCAATCTAAATGTTTAAATTGCAGCAAAATATTATATAGAGTTCATATTATATGTGAATGCTGTAACGAAAAAGATAAACTACAAAGGCTCCAGATGAGACCGTTGGCTAACTGTAATAGTGAGATGAAAATGTTTAAGACTTTTGACAGAGCTAATACTAACACAATTTATATGTTATATAACTATGTTAAACAATTTATTAAATAATAACTGTGAGAAAATATTAATGTATATTATACATCAGAAAATAGAATATATCATTGTTAATAAAACGAGAACATATGAGATGTTAAATTAGTACGCGTTTAAATAAAACGCCCTGTAACAGGCGATAGCCTTTTACGGCAAATAAAGACTTATTATTATTATATTATAAGGTTCAGATTTGAAACCTTTTTTCAAGTTTTAAATTTCAAACGTTGTTTTTAGTTTTAAATTTTAAGCGTTTTATCAAGGTTCAAATTTTAAGCGTTATTTTAAGGTTCAAATTGTAAACCTTTTTTCAAGTTTTAAATTTCAAACTTTTTTTTTTGTTTTAAATTTTAAGCGTTTTTTTAAGGTTCAAATTTTAAAATTTTTTTTAAGTTTTAAATTTCAAACGTTTATTATAGTTTTAAATTCTAAGCGTTTTTTCAAGTTTTAAATTTCAGGCTTTTTTTTAAGGTTCAAATTTTAAACCTTTTTATCAAGTTTTAAATTTTAAATTTTTATTTGAAGTTTCAAATTTTAAACCTATTTTTAAAAACCAAATTTTAAACCTGTTTTCAAGTTTTAAATTTCAAATTTTTTTTTAGTTTTAAATTTTAGGCTTTTTTCAAGGTTCAAATTTTAAACTTTTTTTCAAATTTTAAATTTAAAACTTTTTTATAGTATTAAATTTTAGGCTTATTTTTAAGGTTCAAATTTAAAACCTTTTTTTAAGTTTCAAATTTTAAACTTTTTCTCAAGTTTTAAATTTCAAACTTTTTTATTAGTTTTAAATTTTAGGCTTTTTTTTAAAGTTCAAATTTTAAACTTTTTTATAAGTTTTAAATTTCAAACGTTATTTTTAGTTTTAAATTCTAACCGTTTTTTTAAGGTCCAAATTTATAACTTTTTTTCAAGTTATACTTTTCAAACGTTTTTTGTTTTAGTTTTAAATTTTAGGCTTATTTTTAAGTTTCAAATTTTAAACTTTTATTTAAGGTCCAAATTTTAAATTTTTAAGTTTTAAATCTCAAACTGTTTTTTTAGTTCCGAATTTTAGGCTACTTTTTAAAATTCGAATTTTAAACCTTTTTTTCAAGTTTTAAATTTGAAACGCTTTATTTAGTTCTAAATTTTAGGCTTTTTTTTAAGGTTTAAATTTTAAACCTATTTACAAGTTTTAAATTTGAAACGTTTTATTTAGTTTTAAATTTTAGGCTTTTTTTAAGGTTCAAATTTTAAACCTTTTTTTATGAACCAATGTGTTAGAACCGAGCTCAACCCAGTATGAAAAAATATAAGAGAAAGTACAAAATGGATGTAAGTAAATAATATAGTACTTACAAGAGCCAACAAATCGAAGGGCTTGGTAGTCATGAAAAGATCTAGATATAACGAGCTGTTATTAAAATTTGTAAAAAAAAAAAAAAAAACACAACGCAAGTCTGTGCTCTTGTTCATGTGCAATGACTTGTTTAATGCAAGACTGTGCACAATGCACTGTGTCACGTGCATTGGAGCTGTTACAGATAAGAGTCAACCGTTTTTATAACACAACCATTGCAAAGGAACACGGAATGAAGAAAATGGTAGTTTTCTCCTCATCAGTTCTTAGACTGTTCGGTGTTGCCAAGACACATAAACCGGAATAAAGCATAAGACCAGTGGTTAATAAATGCTACTCACCTATAATAATACTAGAACGATTACTCAAAGGCTTTATTAACACGCACATGCCTACACACGAATATTGCATAAAAAGCCGCTAGAATTGCTCCAGAAAATGAAAAATATGAAATTAAAAAGAGGAGGTTACATGACGGTGCTAGATTACATGGCTTTATACCTCTCAATCAAACTAGATCCATGTTTTTGCCATCTGAGAGACTTCTTAATAAGCAGGATCAGAAATGCAGAAATGATAAGAAAATAGATACTAGAACTGACGCAACTAACCACATATTCATCGATCTTTAATTATTTTTTAAAAAAATAACATACGCTCAACATAGAGGAGTGAATTTGGGAAATCCCGTATCAGGTGCATTATGCCAGATGGTATTAAGGACATTAGAGAACTCTATCATACCGAAATACGCAGTACGCTATAATATACGCACGTTGTGTTGATAACTACTTGTTTATCTAGAAAGAAAAACCAGACATACAGCAATTTATAAGAGCTATGAAATTCAACAACTTCGGCCTAGAAATTGAGCTAGAACCAGAGAATGATAAAACTGTACATTTACTAGATATATCAATTGGAGTAAAGAGAGGAGGAAATCGCTACAAAAGTTTACAGAAAGACAACATACAAGTATAACCGTTAATACCATGGACTTCACACACCCCAGCAACTTATAAACTGGCTGCATTCAGCTTATAAAAAGAGCTTACACGCACTGCAGCAAAGTGCAGGACAGAATTAAAGAATTACAGCATATAATGGCAATTCGGAGTCAACCTGAATGCAATAACCAACAAATAAAAAAATGGACAGTAGATAAGTTAATGAACAGGAAAAAATAGAAGATTACACAGTGATGGAATAAAGATAATTTTCAAAAGGAATCCAGCGGTATATCAGATTTTACGTACGGACAAGGAAGTCATAGACAAGAGCTTTATTCCAAGAGTATACAGAATTCCCGTACAAAATAAAAGGCGGCATAAAATACTTTACTACATCGGAACCACAAAAAGCTCATTAAAATGAAAACTTCAATTTACTATCAAAATGTAGTTTTCTCTTTACACGTCGTTACAATAAAACTTAGCAATTGTATTCTTATCAATTGTTATTAAAGTATTATTTAGTTCCAGCTGTTCACATTATGGATTCAGAGACAATCGAACTCGTACCATCAGACGGGGATAAAATACTTATTTCTTCATCCACTTTTAATAAAATTCGCAACGAGCAGCTGGAATCTATAATGGAACGTGGAAAAAATTCGAGGATTCTGAAATTGCCATACCCCACAGTAGTTGTGGCTCGGATGGTTAAGTGAGATAATCTTAATATATTGTATCTTAAAATATAAAAGTAGAAATATTTGCATTCTCATAAATACATTTTGTACTTATCTTGCAGCTATCTGAGTACAGACGACCCTCAGTTGAAATCTTTGGACAGTGGTTTCCAGTTGTATGACTTGAGCAAAAAATATTCAATTAAAATTTTAAACAGGAAATGCGAAAAGTTCATTATCGATCGGTTAAGTATGAAAAATGTGTGCGNCTTATCTTGCAGCTATCTGAGTACAGATGACCCTCAGTTAAAATCTTTGGACAGCGGTTTCCAGTTGTATGACTTGAGCAAAAAATATTCAATTAAAATTTTAAACAGGAAATGCGAAAAGTTCATTATCGATCGGTTAAGTATGAAAAATGTGTGCGCAATTCACGATTTCGCGTGCAAAATGAATCTTTCCCAGATACAACATCGTTGCAGAAAAATTTTCGATACGTATTGGACAGAGATATTCGAGGGAGATGATTTCAAATCCTGTGAAACTACGACAATAGACAGGTTAGTGTCTCGTCCGTTATACACAAGTATGGACGAAGTGGATATATTTCTGGCCGTCTACAAGTGGATGAAAGAGAAGTGCAAACGAGAAATGGGAACGTCATTTGTTCAAATAAATGAAAACGCCAAGAAACAAAAATATCGAGAAGAATTGCAACCGTTTCTTGAAAAAATCAGATTCTTAGCCATGAGCAAACAGGAATTAATTAATAAAGTATTCAAACTTAATTTGTTTACCGAAGAAGAAGAAAAATCCATTCTCGTCTGTAAGGAAACCAAAAATTTTTCAGATTATCCGAGTTATTTGAGCAAAAACTCAAACGACAGATGCAGGAGCAAATATTCAAATTACGCACTACTATTTGAGTTTAAACATATTAAAGAATCTCCTCGCGTAACCGCCGAATCTAAGAAACCATTTACGTATTTCACCACCGAGATATTTGTGAGGGAAGATTGTTTCGTCACTAATCTCAATCTTCCCATTACTCTTAACAGTAAATACATACCTATGCATATCTATGGTTATATAAATTCGGTAGAAAGCGGTGTTTTTCATTTGGAATCTTTCTGCAATTCCCTAGGAAAAGTAGAGTTGGTTGAACCAATATTCTTTGGGAAGAGTTCGACTTGTCGTCTGTGCGCAGTTTTTGCTCACGATCATTGGCTCCTTCACAACATAAATTTACCTTTACGATCGGCAGAAACTTTTGCTACTCCCGAACAATCGGAGGGGGTGTTATTCGAGGAGAAGTTGATTAAAGATGGGATCATTGAAGAAGAAAGTGATAATTTTTACTTCCTGCTCTACTTGTATTTTTGAAATTAATCCGTATATTGCTTCACTTATTTCCCGTTTATTAAAAATTTAATTAACAATTCATAAACAATATTTTTAAAATACAATTGATGTATTTAAACATTTTCAATTTTTAACGCTCTTGTAGTCATTAATTAAGGGGCCTATTTATATAGTAACTACTGATGACGTAACGTTGAAGGATTTCGTGTGTCTTGAAACTTAATTTTAGACCTTTACAAATAATTTCTATTATTCAAAAGTAGGAATTTAAAGTCTGTTAATTTGGCATCTATGGACCAGAGTGATGCGTATTATTAAAAATAAATCCAGATTATCGAACGTTTCTGTATAAGGTGTGTCATTTTAATTCCTGGAATGGTCACTTAGTGTTGATCGTGACATAATTATATCGATACAACACACAGATTTGTGTTCTAACATGTTTGAACTTGCATCATTCTCAACCTGAAAGAGCTAGTTGTCAATTAGCTATTGGGAAGGTAATCGTTATCTGCGTGTAATATTTTGCATAAAAATGGATGACAGAAATTTAGGGCGATGTATTAATATTACATTTTTGTATGAATATCGGCGAATTCGCTATTGAAATTTGTAACGTTCCTTCTTTATGTAGCCCGGGGTCACTAACGGGACGTTCATTTAAATACCAAAAAAAATTTTGGTTAATCGATCTGGTGTATTCCTTCCTCTTCTACTGGCGCCGTTATTGACCATGGCAGGAGGACTAATTGGCACGGTAATAGTAAAAAGAATCTAATGGCGAAGAAACAGTTNTATCTGCGTGTAATATTTTGCATAAAAATGGATGACAGAAATTTAGGGCGATGTATTAATATTACATTTTTGTATGAATATCGGCGAATTCGCTATTGAAATTTGTAACGTTTCTTCTTTATGCGGCCCGGGATCACTAACGTTCCTTTAAATACAAAATAAACTTTTGGTTAATCGATCTGGTGTATTCCTTTTTCTTCTACTGGCGCCGTTATTGACCATGGCAGGAGGAGTAATTGGCACTTTAATAGGAAAAAGAATCTAATGGCGAAGAAACAGTTCGGGCGCCGAAAGATCCTATCAGAGTATCTGTCGTACCANCTTATTAAATTTATATATATAAATTTTCTAGAATATTTAAACTAAAAGTATTTAATTAACAAAAGTTGTCTTACTGGAGACAATGACTAAGCAAAACTACAGGAAAAGCTTATTTGTGTAAATAACCATCTGTTTACAATGTTCGAACTCGAGAAATAGACTCTTCCACTTTTAGGGTTAGAAGGGTTTAAGTAGCTTAAGATTTCCCTTCTCTTGGTGAAATTATTTTCGGTCTTTAAAGTTTGAATTAATAAGCTGTGTTCACTTTTTGATATACAGACGATTCACCTTCTGTGAGTCGCATGGGTCTGACAGACCCGACGCGATTTTTAGTCAAAATTTTTTAATATTAAATATTTTTTGAAAAATTTGAAAAAATTAATATTCCTCAAACTTTTTAACCAGATTAACATGCTGTTAAAATTTTTTGCATAGCAACGCTCATTTTTTAGAAAAAAAATGCTTCACGAGTCGCATGGGTATGACAGACCCATGCGACTCACGGAGGGGGTAAAAAAACGTCAATTAATTTGTCGCCGTTGCCGATAGCGAGTGTCGCAATAACTTTATCGCGCTGAAGTTGTCGCGCGGTGTCTATTATACTTTATAATATCGTTATTTATTTATATATTTATATTTTTGTTTTTTTTTTTTTAATATTGTTTTCAAAATTAATGTCTAATTAACTTTTAATCATTTTAATTATTATTCTATTTTTATCATATAATTTTTATATATTACTTATGATGATTCTTCGTATATTAGACGATGCAAGTTGGCATTTTTTTACATTTACTAACCAATGGGAAACTTGTGAAAACAGTCTAGCTATAAATTGCCGGGAAATATCTCCCCCCTTTCGGCAATGATCTTGGAAATCAAATGTAAACAATCGCTATAAATTCGCTTGTTTTATTCGCGTTTTGAGCTATAAATTGTTAATTAAATATTGTTTCACAATGTATATACGAGTAAGCATGTTCTCAAAACTGTCTAGCAATAAATATTCCCGGGAAACTCCAACTCTCTATAGTAAGTCTATGGAAGATGTTATTGCTGTTAATTGGCTTTAAAATTTTTGTTTCTACGCCTATTACACTGTAATTGGTAATTTATATTATGACTGATTTAAGTTCAACGAATGAGAGGTTTCTTCAGAACCATCTGGTCTGGATTTTCCCGCGAAGAACCAATCAACGTGATTAAAGTCAGAATGTAAGCAAACCTTACAAATAGCTATCTTCTTCATTTTAGAGCCGTAATTCTGGTAATTTTACTCCTGAATGTTCCTGACAAAACAAACATTTGTTTAAATAACGTCAATTAAAATGAAAAGTAGCGAAATTAGAGCTGAAAACGATGAAAATGGCGATTAACTAACTTTTATTTACATTCTGACATTGATTTAAGTGAAAGGCTAATTCTTATCGCAGTCAATTTCCCACAAGACAATTCTGAGAAGATGCTTACTCGATCAAACGAAATAAAAGAACTATATGTTAGCTAATTAGCCCCTAAACATTATGAGAGCTAATTAGATATAAAGTGAAAAATTACAACTATGCGACAATCATATCGCATAGCTATCATTATTGTAAAATCAAATAATCTAAATTAATCTGATAAAAATACTTTAAATTGTTATCTGCAATTATTATCTATTTATTTTCCATCGCTAAACAACAAAACAAAACTAAAACAAGAACGTAAACTACATTTTAAGTAATTATAAATGAAATCGCTGCGTTTAATCGCGTTACGACTTTGTTGTCGCGCAATACGCAACGCGCGACAGAAAAAAACAAAAATAAATTATGACAATACAAATTGTGAAAATTACAAAATTTTTGATAATTGCATTTTTATAACATTCAGGTATTGACATGGATGTATTTTTTAAGTATTATTTTGTAAAAATTTTATATTATGAAGAAAACAAATTTCAGAATTGAGAGCATGTCGTAAATTGCCGAATTTTTGATGGTCCACCCATTATTTTTTCGATCGCTTCTTTTCATGCACAGAAAACATTTATAACTAAACTATAAGCAAATAATTTTGATGGATTCTATAATATTTTGAACGATGTCAATTTTTGAAAATAGGTGATCGAGTTAAGCCTAACACACGACTATATCAGATAAAAAATTAAAAATAAAATTTATGTCTAAAAATCATACGAAACTATCTATTAAATCATAAAGACAACATTCTTATGAGTAAAATGAAGTAAAATCTTTGTCAATTAGTCGATTTACAACTCAGAAAAGAAGTGTTGAAAATAGAGTCATAAAACAATTAACGTTTATTGACTTTCGCGGTAGGGGGTAACGCGGGGTCGGTTGACAAATTTTCTCGCAGTAGTGCAAAAGTTCTACTCACTTCGCTTGAAAGTGTCATATTTCTTCCCCACTTACAAACAAACCCGATGGCAATCGGTGAAACAGGAGATAAATTACAGCGAGTTGAAATTTGATATGTTTATTTTTTTGCGTTTTTCGTATCGAATTACATAAAAATAAATATTAAAAAATTCATTTTGTCAATACGCAAGTAATTTATATCACTAGATAGAAAACAAAGCGCAGAATCCAACTAAGAAACTGTAGTTTCTTTACGCGATAGATAAAATTGAATTATTTCATATTAAAAACACTGGGTCTGTAAGACCCATGCGACTCAAGTAAAGGCCCCATTCCTAGCGACTTACGCAGGGTTAATTAATACTCATTTGGTTAAAGTCTAGATACGTATACCGTCATGGCGGCGCTTCCTGTTGTTAGGATGGTAGACTCGCTCCGGACGCCGACTGTTTGGAGCCGAGTGTGGTCGCGTGACTACGCGCGGGCGCGATTACAAACGAAAGATGGCGGATGCGCCGCGGCGAAAAAGGGGTGAAAGAGATCGAAAAAATCGCTCAAACGAATTATTAACAAAAAAACGCATTTTTACTCACCGTTGTCGTCGTCGATGGTCATTCCGCGACACTAGCGCGCTTCTTTGCACCGTCGCGACGCTCTTCCTCGTTTTTTCTCTTGCTCGCGCCGCTTGCTCGCTTCGGCGTATCGCTTCCGGTGATGCTGCCGGAACGGTTTTTGGCTTCTTCCATTCGGGGGCACGCGGCCCGCTCCCGGATAAATTTTTCGTAAACGTTCGCAAAAAACATTTTCGAAACGTTTGCCCGGCTTTGAACTTTCCCGTATTTCGGATACTTTCTATACATAGAGAGGAGTATGGATAGGAATCGCGAAGTTCCTCCGAGTAGTGAATCGGCGCAGTGATTTTTCTTCTTGAGAATCCCTTTCGATACTCTGCGTATGTACGCCGTTGAGCGGGTTCACAAAACCGGTACTGCAACTTACCGCAGCGGCCAAACACGAAGACTTCTTCAACGAATCGTCTATGCAAATGAGGTGCCTGACGAAAGTGAACATCGTTCCCTACGATACCTTATAGCAAATGAAGGCATATCCTAACATCGATACTTAACTCCGGATATTCCGATTCCAAGCAACGAAAGAAATATTTCGACGTTAAAAATCGTCGAAATCCACATTTCTGTGCTAAAGTCGAACAACACGCAACACGCAAACCGACCCGTCGAATTCAAATCGACCACACCAACAAAACAAAAGCGCGCGCGCACACACACATCGACAGCAGACATCGCGAAAGCGCCACCTGGTTCAAACCACATGGAACGACACGGTCCGGTAGGGGCATCACGCGACAACACGTCTCCAACGCGTCCAAGGGAGCGAGGCTATTATTTATCGGTCTACAAAGCGGGAGAAATCATGTTCAGAATGAATATATAGGTACAACAGTTTTACGTTATACACTTCTTTGTCTTGTAAGAGACGAGGAACCATTCCATGCCACCCGGCATGCAATAGCCACAACAATGATGCATGCTAGGCAGGCCTTTAACCGATAACTTATCTGTTAAAGGATTTTTCTTTTTTTTTCAGTTCGTAATGCAAACTTGTATTTATGCTTTGTGTGAATGTAGGACACACACGAGGACAAAATTTAATTTTTACTTAATTACGGGGCGTCGGTGTCCGTATATTTAGAACATACACAAAAATCATTATATTAACAAAAGATCACTTTGATATTAGTAATAATATCTATTGAGAGATCAGAGATATTATTTGATTATCATACAAAGTGTGATAAAATATGCATAGATATCTTTACTAACAGGATTGCATTTCTAGCTACTCCACTCCTCAGTCTACTGAAGGGCATATTTCGAAATACTTCCCTGTTCATAGAATAGAGATGTCTTTTCTTTTTTAAAAAGCAGCGTTTCCTGGAATGGTAGCTCTTAGAAAATAAAACTTGATTATCGCGGAATTATCAAAACCCAAGAAGATAAGCTAATACAAAACTTTAATATTTATTTTTAATTAGTCATGCATTTATTCATACATCATTGTCGGAAATACTACAACTTTCAAACGACAAAGATGTTTGTTTGAAAGTAATAATAAATATCTTTTTGTTGTTTTAGGATTTCTTCGAGTGAGATACGAATCCAAAACAAAAAACAAGAAGAAATTATTATATCAGAAGCTCAGTTAAATAAAGTCATGAACAGGAATTTTGAACTTCTCATTAAATACTGTGAAAATTCGAAAGTTCTGTTCATGCCTTATCAAATCGAAACCATCAGACAATTCGTTACGTAAGTTTTTCATGATATTAACCTTTCATTTAATTTCAATACATTGTCATAAATTATAATTTATATTTTTTAAACAGTTATGTACAGACGGACGATCCCGGATTGGCCTTTATTACACACGCTTTCGATCTGTATCATCTGAGTTTAAGATACGAGCTAGATGATTTAAGAAAGAAATGCAGATCATTTATCATTCGGAAAATAAATTTGCATACCGTCTGTGCAATCCACGATTTTGCACGTGAGATCAGTGATGTGTTCATTACTTATTATTGCTGGCTAGCTTTCGACCAACTCGGAGAAAGATTATTTACAACAGTCGACTTTATGTGCTGTAAAATTACAACAATTGATAGATTGGTATCTCGAGCGATATATGAATCTGTCAGTGAATTTCGTTTACTCCAAGCCGTGTATCAGTGGAGCATAGAAGAAGTTAAAAGAAAGCAGGGTGCAGACGTCTTTTATTCCATGAATGAAGAATCGGAAAGGAATGCAATTAGAAGTGTAATGGAGCCATTTATTGGAAAATTCAGATTTCTTGCCATGAATGAAGACGAATTGCAATCTTGTGTTGTAACAATGAACTTGTTAAGCGAGTTAGAAAAGATTCATATCTGGCATACTTTTAAGACTGGTAATTATTACTTTTATCCCAGTTACTTCAGTCGAGAAACAAAAACCAGAAGCGGATTAAATTATCGTAACTTGTTCTCGTACGTAAATAAAGATCCTTCTATGGTCGCTAACAGAAAGGTGAAAGGTTACATACATTTTAGCAGCGAAGTAGTTGTGATGGAGGATTGTTACGTCACGGCTCTTCGATTTCCGATGATGCTTGGCGAACGTTTTCCAATGTTCGTATACGCGTATATTAATAATTTGGATAACGAGTATTTTTCGTTTCACACCGTTTGCAATGCACAGGGAGTAGCAAATCTGCAAACGAAGTTGTATCTAGATAAACATTGGTCAATTCGTTTCTTTGCTTTCTTTTACCTCGCTGAAAATGTCCAACCCGATATCGAGTTTTTACCTCAATTGAGTTACTTTATGAGCGACGAAGGAACAGATGCCAGGAAATTTGAAGACAAATTTTTAATCGGTGACAGAAACCTTATGAACAATATTTACTTTTCGGTTGATTTATATTTTTGAAGTTTAAAGTTTCTTTGAAAGAAACTGAAATCTAAACGAGAATGTAATGTAAAGTTAAATTCGAATATCATTATTTCTTACTGTATCACTGTAAACTTACTGCAAAATGTGTGTTTACAGTACGTGAACGAGATATTCAATTTATTGGGTTTACAGAAAACAAAATTTAAATATAAAGTGCTAATGTAATTTTTTTCCTGAAAAGTAAATTGTGATTTTTATTGCAGTAGTTGTTTGAGAAAGAAACATAATTACAATCTTACAGCATTAATCTCTTTTTTCTTCATGTTATTGACGATAGAAATATAAAAAGTTAAGACTTGAATTTTTGTCTAAATGTAAGAGCAAATCGATATTCACATTTGAATTTCAGTATTTACAATATTGTTATTTGTATTCTTTGTCAAGAATGTAATGTTTTTTCATTCTTTTCATCTACGATACTTTGCGTAAATTTATTTGGCTTCAAAATTAATTTTTTTGAAGTGAACGTGTCCGGATCTTTTACCTGGTTACTGACATTTTCTGTTAAAAGAGCAGTGCGTTTAGAACGAGTTGACGTCAGAATTTCTACAGCAGCAGTTTGCATAAAAGATCACTATTCAAAAGCTTTATAAAGTGTATCTTTAATATTACGGGATTACACTAAGATATTTTTGATAACGGTACTGTACTTATTTTTAATACTAAACAATGAGATATTGGAGAGCATTAAAAAATTTTCGACTAGTTTTTTTAAAATATACAATTTCTAAAAATAAATATAAAAATATTTATTTACTATATTTACAGCAATCGTATTTTGTAAAATTTTTATTGCCATATTTAATTTAATGTTAATGATGCTGCTTTATTGCATGCCTGTTTTACTGTATAAATGAATATGTTTAACCTAAAAAAACTGACGATGCGCATTATAACTGCAATGGAAATCACCTCTCTTTGTTAATATGGAGATTATAGCTCAAATAGGCTCTTTCTCCGATAGACTTGTGTATGATCGCTATGCGACCGATGAGCCAGCCGTACCTGAACGGCCTAATCGCGCGCGCGGGTAATAATGCCTTCCGGGAGGACTTTTATGGGGAACTGGCCTTATATTCAGTCGTTATTGGCAAGGAGAAAACCCGTAAACTCCAAGCAGCCAGCCTGTCCGACCGTGGCGCGAACCCACGACGAACCTCCCAGTCTTTAGGGTCTGGTCACCACTACTATGAGCGGCAACGGAGACCACGAAATGAATTTCCTTTGCTGCTAGACTAATTTATTAACACCTGCACCTAATTTCGAGGGTGAAAGAAGTGCCCGGGATGAGTTCGAACGAAAGTTTAGACTAATTCATTATATTAGGAGGGGAAACGTTGTTGAGATGGGTTTTTACAATAGTTTAGACCAGATACATTCGCGAATGTGGTCGCTTGTTACAGGTGTTGTATGTTGTTTCGGACCAAAAATCGATGCCCGCGGTCCCGTTACACAGGTGGTCGTTTAATACAGGTAACTTATACGAAGACTCTATGGATAAACTATTCCGTGCCAGAAATTTTTGCCCGTTTTGACAGGTGCCCGTCGAATGCAGGTGGTCGCCTAAGCAGTTTTCACTGTACTTGAAAAATTAATTGTGTATTGGAGCTAAAAATATGTGTTGTTTAATGGAAAAAGTATTTTAATTTAATCGTTTTTTTATATAGTTTTCTTCCTTATCTATTCCTTAAATTGATTTGTTTATTAAGATTATTTATTAATCATAACTGATTAATCAGCTGTTTATCAAACTGGTACTCGGACCGTTGAAAGTCCGAAAGTATGTCAGAGACGTCACGTAGTTGAGGTCAGCAAAGAGCTCTAGCGGAAAATGAATATTGCAAATGTATATTATTTTACTCCAGAATACTGTATATGCAAGCCTTTGAATTTTTCCGTGATGTATGTTATGAATTCTTACATACTTATTCGCTTGTGCCAACGATAGATCTGACATCTAGCGGTATTAGCGCGAACTACGTAATGGCGGCTGCTAAGGGTATAAAGTCTGACTGCAGTAAAGTCTGTGGTCTGTTAGAATTAGAAAGTGTTCAAGCTACAATGGTAAATAATAAGTATTGCTGTGAATTTAGATGCAAGTCTAAAGGTTCATCAAACTCAGTACATATGCACACATTCGCAAAACATAAATTACATCGAAAAAAGTGGGAAATAAAACTGAAGTTAGCACTTTAGTTTCACCAACACCTAATTTTACTGTGCTTAAAATTCTTTCATTTTTACAAACGTTTTCAACCTATCTAATATAGACCATCGTCAGGTTCAATATTATAAATGTTCCAAAATGGAACGTACCGTTTTTGAATATTTTACATATTTAAAATTCAAAAAAATAATTTAACTTTAAAATAAATTGAAAGAAGTGTGTATATTAAATAAATAAATAAAAAGTAAATAAAATAAATCAAAGACAAGTCTGTCTAAGGGATCACCATTGAAGTAAGACGTCTGTGTGTCACTGATTATTTTTACTTTTAATTGAATGTTTGCGTTTTTTTAAAGGACTTTTTTTACCTTTGGCGGCATGAAGCCCAAAAAAAAGGAAGGCCTGTCGCCATTAATGTGTATGTGTAGTCTGAAATGCAAAATAAATGGTGATCTCTTTTGGACAGACTTGTCTTTGATTTACTTTACAATAATCCAGCCATCGGACGGAAAAGTTCAAAAAGTAAATAAACAAATAAAATATAGAAAACAAAGCTAACTAGAAAGAAACATGGTTTTGGGTGCTCTTTTATAAAAAGTCGAGAATGGTCTATAAGAAAAAGAGCACCCAATATCTATAGCTTGCTACGGAACGATAAAGATAGCATAAAAAAGGAAGAGAAAGCTGGGGTATATAAAATGAAAATATATAACAGAAAAAATAATGGGACTTAAAAACCCTTAAATCATGTTTCTTTCTAGTTAGCTTTGTTTTCTATATTTTATTTTATTTTATATACACACGTCTTTCAATTTATTTCGAAGTTAAATTACTTTTTTGAATTTTAAATATGTAAAATATTCAAAAACGGTACGTTCCATTTTGGAACATTTATAATATTAAACCTGACGATGGTCTATATTAGATAGGTTAAAAACGTTTGTAAAAATAAAAGAATTTTAAGCACAGCAAAATTAGGTGTTGGTGAAACTGAAGTGAATTAGTTGCTAAGAGGTGGATAGATATGAAGTTATCAGTTTTAAATTATAATATTAGCCTTATCCTTAAACCTATGAAAGTTAGCCTATTTTCATATAATCACCCACGCCCTCTTCAATGCCCAAATATTTCTTTGCGCAGGATTTGCCATTCACAACATAAAAATTAACCAAGATATACGAAAAATATCCCTTCTTTAGCATTTCCTCTCCTTATAAGGCCTGTTTTCCGATCACCCACATATTCTAAAATGTCTTAAGGTGTAATCATCATGACTTAAACAACTACGAAATCAACTAGGATTAATGTCGGACACAAATGCGAATAATACTTTTTGACTACAGAGAGAAAAATACATTAAAAAGACAACACACATGTAACTCTCGTATATTGCCACGCACGCTATACCCTTTGTGGCAGCCATTTTGGTCGACTCATACGCCACCTATATTTACTGGCACAAGCGAATTAGTGTCCATTACCAAAAAGTTGGAAAGCACTGCTTAATAGTAATTTCTCAATTTTATTTTCATTATTTTATACTGTTTTTTTATTTTTTATTTTTTTTTTTTTTTTGTCCTCAGCCATACTCATTGAAACAATTACATTTCCATCAATTTAATGCTTTTTCTGAACTTGAACTTTCCTTCATTTTAACTTTTTCTATTGGTTGTCAGAAAAGCAAATTGCTAATTACCATATAGACCTAAATTGTTGTGTTGTATTGATTAATATATTATGTTGTTGTACTGATTTGTTTCATTTTATAATAAATTTGTGTTTCTTTAGTAATAATGTAATATTCCCAGTGTTAAATAGTAAAAATTTCAAATGAACTTACACTTGTTATGATACAGTAAATAATTTTTTTTTTCATGTATTAAAATAACTTTAAAGTTATAAACTTCCAGAAAAGTTATTTTCTATCAATTTATCATTAATTCAATAAATGAAATTAGAGTAAACTCATACTTAACCTTTTTTGTTCAAGTTTCAAAATTGATTATTATAGCTTGAATTTTGATTTCAATATAACAAAACATAGCTCCTTTTCTAATTTTTTGTGTTAACACGTGTTGGTTTTTGTTGGTTACGATTTCGCTAGAGGCGCTATGGTTGGTCTCATCCAACGTGTTCCTGCAGGTAAAGCTTGTGTTTCGAGGTGATGTCACGTGACACGTTTTATACGCCTCCGATGTTCATCAACGGCAAAAACGAGCTTAACGAGCTTTAATCTATCAAGATTTGGACAGCACAGAACATGACTACTGTAATTATCGTTCAAATTATTAATTATAAAATGTTTAAAATAGGAAACAAAGCAGAACTAAAGTGAAAGGTGCAATGGGATCGTTATAACAGGGATAGAAAAAATTCAAGAAAGTTTACACAGCGGTAGAGGAACAAAGGACATCTATAAGACCTCGTGGCATATATGATCTCATGGATAGCGTTGAAACAGATTGTAACAGTGAATATGCAAGGTTAGTTTATTAAACTCACTGTTTTATTAATTGATGATACTTTACCAAAATATGTAAAAATGCAACCTAAGAAAAATTCCTCCGTCCAGCAAGAACGTAAAGTGGCCGATGACGTTCACGGTCGCAACAATAGTGCGATCACCAATCTTAAATCGATAAAATGTTTATTCTATAGCTAATATTTTCGTAAAATAAGTAGCCTATACTTTCCGTCATAAAATTAAACGAATATAACAAAAATTACACCTGGATTAGACAAAAATTGCAGATGTTATTAAAAAATTCACACACAGACGACGACTTTCATATAAGCAATTTATGTATTT